GGCTTCCCATCCCCATAACCTCCTCCCACCCGCAACCCTCCCCTTTCCCACTCCCTCTCCCCTTCCATTCACATCAAGATTCATTTTCGATTCTCTTTATATACAGAAGATCAGTTTAGCATACATTAAGTAAAGATTTCAACAGTTTGCTCCCACACAGAAACATAAAGTGAAAAATAATAGATGATTTTTTAAATGATGATGAAATCAGATCAGACCTATTGTCATGTTTAATCCCAGTGAGAGTCAAGTTGGGAATTGCTAATTTCTTCTCTTTTTTTTTTTAACAGAAGATCAGTTTAGTATACATTAAGTAAAGCTTTCAACAGTTTGCACCCCCACAGAAACACAAAGTGAAATATACTGTTTGAGTACTCATTATAGCATTAAGCCTCAATGTACAGCACATTAAGGACAGAGATCCTACATGAGGAGTAAGTGCACAGTGACTCCTGTTGTTGACTTTACAAATTGACACTCCTGTTTATGGCATCAGTAATCTCCCTATGCACCAGTCATGAGTTTCCAAGGCTATGGAAGCCCCTTGAGTTCTCCGACTCTTATCTTGTTTAGACAAGGTCATAGTCAAAGTGGAGGTTCTCTCCTCCCTTCAGAGAAAGGTACCTCCTTCTTTGAAGACCTGTTCTTTCCACTGGGATCTCACTCACAGAGATCTTTCATTTAGGTGTTGTGTTTTTTTGTTTTTTTTTTTTGTTTTTTTTTTTTTTTTTTGCCAGAGTGTCTTGGCTTTCCATGCCTGAAATACTCTCATGGGCTTTTCAGCCAGATCGGAATGCCTTTAGGGCTGATTCTGAGGCCAGAGTGCTGTTTAGGACATCCGCCATTCTATTAGTCTGCTGAGTATCTTGCTTCCCATGTTGGATCACTCTTCCCCTTTATTTATTCTATCGGTTAGTATTAGCAGGTACTAGACTTGTTTATGTGATCCCTTTGACTCTTAGTCCTTTCATTATGATCAATTGTGAACAGAAATTGATCACTTGGAATAGTGAGATGGCATTGGTACATGCCACCACAACCATCTACTTTCAGTTTACTTTATACTCATAAGATTAACCATACACTAAGTAAAAAGTTCAACAAAGTAAGAAGAAACAAACACTTCCTCAACAGTAGAGACAAGGGCTGTGAACAATTATCAAATCTTAAAATATCCATTTCACTCCTTAACATTACATTTTTGATACTGTTTGCCTGAGTCTAAGTATTAAGCGACTTGACTCTTAGCTGATACGGTGCTATCGTTGCAATGAATTTGCTCTGTTACCCTGAGTAAGTCATTAAACATATCTTAGTTCATAAAATGAATGGATTTGACTGGGTTGTCTATAAGCCTTCTTCTAGCCCCACGAGTGTTTTCAATTTTGTGTTCTCAGAGTCTTCTCTTTTCCATTTAGGCATGAAGTGCTACTGACTCAATGGGTGAATGAATGTGGACAGATGACATGTTTACATAATTGACATAATCATGGCTGAATTTAACCATTTCCATTCAAATGTGCCACGGCTGACACCAGTGCTGTGTGGTTTTGGACATGGTGTTTCAGGTCTCTTGTCACTTATCATGGCCACAGAGTCAAGTACTATTGTTGTGACTTATCCCTCTGCTTGGTCTGGGCCAGTCAGGCTCTGGCATTGGAGGCATGGGGCTGTCTTAAGAGCTCTGCCTCCTTTATATGATTGTGCTGAATAAAATCCATAGTGATCTTTAAAATATTTTCTGCATATCCAAAACATAACAATTTGTAGATGTGTTGCCTCTAAGCACATTTATCTCAGTGAAATATAGGTAGGTGGTAAAAATTATTTGAGAAACAGAAGTTTGACAATCAAGTGGCAAAGACCAGCTTGCATTAGGCTTTTAATTTTACATGCAGGCATATGTGTATATATGCATTCAATGCAAGTTGAGAGCACTAGGCTGTGAGGTGGAAGGGCTATGTCGTAAATCAGAGATGGCTACAGTGCTCACAAAGCTCTCAACCTAAGGTGAACAGTGAGACTTGCACTCTTTAGTGATTGATATCTTAGAGAAGGGAGAGAGACAAGCCTATGTGAAATCCAAAGAGGATGAAGGTGTCCCTGGCCCTAGACATAAGACATAGGGGCCAGTATTTATTGAGTTTAACCTTAATAGATGATTAGAGTATAAAAGTGAATGAAAGTAGATAAACAAACTGTGACTCATCCATACAATAGAATAACTTTGAAAAGAAAGGAAATTCTGTCATATGCTGCAAAATGGATAAACTTTGATGACAGCATGCGAAGAGAAATAAATCAGCTGCTGAAGGACAAAACTGCAGGGTCCCAATTCCATGAGATCCTTAGAATAGTCATACTCATAAAGACAGGAAGTATAATGTTAGTTGCCAAGGACTGTGGTGAGCATGAAATGAGTGATTTCTTTTAATGGATACAGAGTTTTGGTTTTGCAAGAGGAAAACAATTCAAGATTAGTTGCACAACAATGTGAATGCATTTAACACTTCTGAACTGTATACTTGATAATGGTTAAGATAGAAAATGTTATGATATGTATATCTTACCACAATATAAAATTAAAAAATCAAGTCAAAATAATAAACAGAGTAAATTATGACAAACTTAAGAAAGAAAGAAATGAAATTTCTTGAAATCCAAGTCTTGAAATCTAAGACAGTTCATGAATCAGGAAAGTAAAAAATACAATGATATGTGCAGTCTCATTGAAACCAAGGTACATGGAAAAGAAGAAGGGATTAGGCAGAAAGATGAAACCAGATCAGGGAAGACCTTTAAAACTAGCACAGAAGCTCAGTCTTGAGCTTGCATTTGAATGCAGGGCACTGAAATGTTCAAACTTGGTTTAGGAAGCTTCAGCGGCAGGCAGTGGATTGAGGGTGGATAGAGAGGCTAGCTTGGGGGAGACTGGGAGTCTGACCAGGAGAATATGTGTTACTGTCAGTGTGAAACCCTGATGGTCTGTACTTTGAAGCTTCAAAGGAGGGAGAGACAAATTTTATACATGTTGGAGAGATACAAAGAATAGGGGTTTGCAACTAATCTGATAAGAGTAATAAGGATGTAGACTTTAAATATAAGGTATAGTGGTGGCTTTCAAAAACAGTTTTAGGAGCATTATCATTTTTCAAAATGAAATCATTTCTAGGACTTCAATATTTAAAGCTGATAAAAGCAGAGCAGATCAGATGGAAGGCAAGCTGGACAGTTCCCATCCTGCCAGTTTTAATGCTCCAATTCCACGTGCTACCACAATTCCCTAGGGAACTGTGCCAAACTCAACTGGAGACTCCTCATTGACATGGATAAATCCAGCCTTAATGACAGGGAAGATCTTCCACCATTCATAGAAATAGGGGACTGGATCACTTATCAATTTATTTGAGAGAAAGTTGAAGTGTCCAGAAGGGGTCATTGCAGATATGGTGCTTTGGAGAAGACTAAAGTCTTCATTTTGGAGTTATTAGCTTGTTGTTGAATCTTTGTTAACACTTACAAGACTGACAAATGTGATTAAGAGAGAACAGAGCTGAGGAATGAACTTAGAATGGCATAAAGAGGAAGAGGCATCAATGTGAAGTATGGTCAGAGGTAAAATAGTTGGAATCGCTTATGTTTGCCAGGTGGGGAGAGCATAGTCTGCTAGAGAGGCACAGCAGGTGATTTTGTGACACACTGTCACATAATTACAAATCTTACCACCTACTTTCTTCATTTGGATCCTATTCTGCCTGTAGCAGTAACAAATCAAGTTGAAGCTCTGCTAAGTCTTTCCTTTGCTTGTTGACCTGGTTAAAATGAGGTTTCACCATTTCAAGAATTCAAGATGAGAAGGCACACTCAACTTGACATTTACTTATCCAGAAACTGGTCAAGGGCCTCACATGAACAAAGGGGCTGCTTCAACCTCAGGTCAGCCAGGGCACTCATTTTTGCAGTATGATGGCTGGTGTCCTGGTATTTTGTGAACTATATCTGGTACTTTGTAGAGTGATCTGAAGACTTTATTTATCCTACAGAAATTTTGGGGGCTTTTTCCCTTTTCAAAAAATATCCACATTTGCATCAAGTATTCTATTTAATCCCCTTTTCTCCTCTCCCCATCTTATTCCTCCTCCCTCTTTCTCTCTTTCCTTCCCTCCTTCCTGCCTTCTCCCTATGTCTCCCTCTCTCCTCCTCTCTATATTTTGCCTTTCCCTTCTCTCTCATTTTTCCCACTGGATTTAGACCTCAACATGGTTGTCTTAATAGGATGATGTATCTCTGTAATGATAGCATCTGATTAGGACAGTATCATCATGGAATAAATGCTAGTGTTTCATGGCATTTGTAAAATATAGCAAGCTGGGTGCATTGCTTTCTTTTTCTTACTTTGTTTCCTCGTATGCTTGATACTCAAAGCATTTACAAAAAGATATTCTGAAAAGCTGGACCTAATGGAACTTAATCTGTCCTCCTTTTTCCCAGGAGGGAGACACTCCCAAAAAGGCAGCCTCTGCCACCATCACTGTCACCAACACTGCTATTGCTACTGCCACTGTCACTGCTACTTCCATTGTCACCACCACTGTCACAGCTACCACCACTGCCACGGCCACCACCACAACCACTACCACTACCATTTCCACCATCACCTCTACCATCACTACTGGCCTTATGGATAGCAGTCACCTGGAGATGACATCCTGGGCGGCACTGCCCCTTCTGTCCAGCAGCAGCACTAACGTCCGGAGACCCAAGCTCACTTTTGATGACTCGTATGTTGTCCCCAGATTATCGCTGACATAATGTGGAAGTGGTGAAGGGGGGTGGAGGGTGGAGGTATTATGGCTTTTCTGGTGTCATGAATGTGTCACCCCCAGTAAGACCTTAGCATCCATTCCTATCTCCGTGAAAGTATATCCCTTGCTCCCCTCACTCACACATCTCTGTGCTCAGCAAGAAATGTCTTTGCCTTATTTTAATAATGGAACTTTGTTACTGTTTTCAAGGGCTTATTTAGAGCTAGTTTTGTTTGATCTATTTGGGCAACTGTAAAGATGGGGTTTGAAGGATGTGGCTATTTATCCTAATGGGCCATTATATACTTCAGCTTTCATTTGTGGTACTATGTCAAGGTTGGTTATGACGTGAATGATAGCTTAGTCTACCTTTTCCAAGACATTGTAGAAGAATGAACTTACAGGAAAAGAATTTTTTTTGACTATTCAATCTTCTAACAAGAACATGACCCAGTGGTTTCTGAGAGCTTGTTTTGTTTGTTTAGGGTTCACAATGCTGATTATTATATGCAAGAGGCTAAGAAGCTGAAGCACAAAGCTGATGCACTGGTAGGTTTCCTTCCTCTCACAGCTTTGCTCCAATTGAGGTATTATGCTTTGAAAGAAAATAGATAAGACATTTTATAAACAAGTCAAAGTTTTGGTAGCACAATGCAAACTTACCTTGCAATGGATTAAGGCTCTGACTCAGGGAGATTGGAACTGGTTAACTCATTGGCACCATAATTCCCAAAGTTCTTTGAGCTAGGCTGCCCTGTCATTAATTGTTTTCCCACTCTTCTTCCCCTCGCACCCACTTCAAATGTCTAACAGCATATACTACTGTCGTTATCCTTAAAGTGAATCTGAAATGCTTTTGAAACTTCTCTTGAGATGATGGGACTTCCCATTAGCTCTGGTAAATCAGAGCTAGTCTGGGAAATAGTAGGGTGGTTGAAAGCTGGTTAAGTGACCCCAAAATTTGGCTCTAGGAAACTGGGATCTGTAGAAAAATCTCATCTCTTTGCTGCATTTGATTACATGTTCCCAGGGTGAGACCCATAGCAAGGCTGGGACCCTAAGCAGAGGAAGGAAGTGGTACCATCTGGATTCGCCAAGACACTTTGCTAAGTGCCTCGAAGGTTCTTAGCCACCTAGGCCAGTGATCAGCCCAGCATGTTGAGTTATTTAACTTGATTTATTCTCCTAACAGTGGATCTCAAACACATGTTACAGTCACTTGGAGAGTCTTAAAATTACCTTGATTCCCAGGCTATACCCAAAACTATTGAAATCAGAATTTCTGGGACTGGAACCCAGGCAAGCGTATGAATGCTCCCCAGGTGACTTCCATATGCTGCCATTTGAGAGCACTGTTCCAAGATAATTCACTAAAGTCAGGTTCCTCAGCTTTGACTAAATCTCCTAACAATTAGAACCATCAGTTCAACCCCACTGTGTGAAAAAAAAATAGCATCTCTCATCATTGTATTCTGTACAGCCAGGACTTAATTAAACCAAGGTGTTTGACACTGAGAACACTGCGGTGGAATATCATGATAGTCTTCAACATGACCAGTGTGTAGCCAACATCAATTACCCATGGCTCTTGCACCTGCCACTTCTCTGCTTTCTCTCATCCCCCTCATGGGCCAAATCTCTCAGCTACTGTCCACAACTAACCTTTCTGTGGTATGAATTGCTTCTTGGAAATAATTTGCACACAAAATCTTCCTGCACACAAAATTGACAAGGCAGGATGGCTGCCAATTCCCTTAGAGATGCCAGGCGGACTGAGCCTGTGACTACTGCATGGTAGTGAGATATTTGGAAGGCATTGGGGGCAATGTTACTGGCTCAAAGATAAAAGGTTTCCTCTAACTGTCCTCAACTCTACAGCACTGCAGAAATGCTCTGATTGTTTGCATTCTGTCAAAATCAGGTCAAGGAGCACATAGATGCCCTTTGACAAGCTGTTACATGAGCCAGTGAAGACCAGGATACACATATGAGGCCATGTGGGTAAAATGTTTGAAACTCTGAGACAATTCAGAGCCACAGAGATACATATCTATGAGTAAGGATTAACATCAGTCTACTTTCCAGAGTTGTATTTATATGTGGTCCTTAATAACTTTGGGTCTAATCTATTCAGAGGATTTATGCTCATCTGCAGAGATACTGCCCCAATGGGGAAAAAATCAGGTCTAGGGGTGAGATAGAAAAGTCTTAGACATTACAGTGGTTTGTGACCCTCCAAAATATAAATAGACACTCGTTGTATTTTTATATTAAAATTTCACTGGCGTGAATGAAAAAAATCTAAAAAGCTCCATTTGGGTGATGATAGTACAAAAAAAATGTTGAGAAACAGATTATTGATATTTTTGTTGGACATATGTCTATACTGGCACTAGAAGCACCTTGGTGGTCCAAGCCTCTCATTATTTTTAAATATTTATTTATTTATTTGAAAAGCAGAGTTAAAGAGAGGCACAGCCAGAGGCAGAGGCAGAGGCAGGAGGGGAGAGAGAGAGAAAGGCCTTCCATCAGCTGATTCACTCCCCAAACGGTTGCAACAGCCAGAGCTTGGCTGATTCTAAGCCAGGAACCAGAAGCTTCTTCTGAGTCTCCCATGTGGGTGCAGGGGCCCAAGGACTTGTCTATCCTTTGCAGCTTTCCCAGGCACATTAGCAGGGAGCTAGATCAGAAGTGGAGTAGCTAGGACTCAAACCGGCACCCATATGGGATGCCAGCAATGCAGGTGGCGGCTTTACCTGCTATGCCACAGCACTGGCCCCCAAGCCCCTCATTTTATAAATGAGGAAAACTAGGCAGGTGAACACTGTAGCCATGTAATTTTTTCTCTGGACTTCAATGTCTCCTCCTTTTCAAGGAAAGATTGGGGCTACGTGATAGATAATGGTCATTCCAGCTCTGGAGTTGGGAATGAAAAGTGACATTCAAAAACTAGAATGTAAAGATTAATTTCCCAATGGAAAAGTCATTCAGAGCCCAATGACCTAAGGAAATTATCTTGTAAGGCAAGAGTGAAAGAAGGTGCTTTTCATTCACACATTCAGGTTCTTGTCAAATCACTTTGAATTTTGTTGAAACTGATGTTTCTCCACAATAGCTTACAGAAGGTAAACCACAGAACTCCTTCAGTGCATAAAAGCTGGAGAACATTTATTGTAAAAAGAGTCATTTACAATAAGAGATTTTGTAGGACATATAACTAATAATTTCATAGTTATACTTAATCCTTTGCTAGACGCAGCTACTCTTCCATTTTGAGAATTGAAACATTCAGAGTTGCATGGAAAATATTTTGATAGAAGGTATACAAGAAAATTAAAATAGCTAAATCTATATTATATTTCTTCTTTTGGATAAAACACCATATTACTGAAATTCTTACATCCAGCTATCAAAAATTGAAAATGTTAAATCCTGCTATAAAATACTCACTATAAAAGTGTCATATACAATATTCATTACACATAAAAAAGAAATCAGTATGTCTAAGTCACTTTAATCGTGACCATTATCAGGACTAAAACCTTTTGCAATAAAATTTTACTCAACTAAAATATTTAGTGGTGCTATATTTTTGGGGTTTTTGGCACACTATTTCAGATCATCATTTACAATGAAAGTGATTCGATTATTGTCAACAGTCATACTACAGCTTCACATTTTTCATGACAATAGCATCAATTTGTTACTCTTCTCCTGGGGATGAGTTGATGTGCTCACAAAGAATTCTAAATAAAATGCTCTATGTGTTCCTTGTCTGTGAGGCTTATAGAAAGCAGAGCTGGGCCGGCACTGTAATGTAGTAGGTTGAGCCTCCACCTGATGTACCAGCATCTCACGTGAGTGCAGGTTCGAGTCCTGGCTGCTCTGCTTCTAATCTAGCTCTCTACTAATGGCCTGGGAAGGCAGTGGAGTATGGCCCAAGTCCTTGGGCCCCTGCACCCACATGGGAGACCCAGAGGAATCTCCTGGCTCCTGGCTTCAAGTCGGCCAAGCTCTAGCTATTGGAGTATTTGTGGAGGGAACCAGTGGATGAAAAACCTCTCTCTCTCTCTCTCTCTCTCTCTGTCTCTTTCTCTCTCTCTCTCTCTCTCTCTGTAGCTGTACCTCTCATGTAGATAAATAAATCACTTTTTAAAGCAGAGCTTAGTTGCAAGTGCTGCCTCTATGACTAGTTAGTTTAGTAAATTTAGTGAAATAGAACCTGGTTGAGGCATTGATTTGGGTTTTGGCCCACTAAAAAAGATGATGATAGTAATACCATGAACTGTATGAGAACTTGGCTACATTTTTCTATGCTCAACTAGCTGGTCACTGTTAATACCAGTTCATACATTGTCCTATCTGCATATTGGAGTTTCTGAGGCAAGGCACTGTTGAGATATTGGATCAGTAATTCTTCACTGTGGGGACTGTCCTATGCATTGCAGGATGCTTAGTAGCATCTCTGCCCCCCTCCACACGCACTAGATGTCCTTCTGCCAATGGTGACAACCAAAAATGTGCCAGACTGCCAGATGTTCCTTCAGAGAAGGAAACAAAATTATCCTCATGTGAAAACCACTCCTCTATATGAAGGGGAAAAGGAGGAGTCGCATGTTGACAAGTCATCTTCCTATTTCAGTTCGAGAAATTTGGCAAAGCTGTGAATTATGCCGATGCCGCCCTCTCCTTCACCGAATGTGGTAACGCCATGGAACGTGACCCTCTGGAGGCAAAGTCCCCATACACCATGTACTCCGAGACTGTGGAGCTCCTCAGGTGAATGGTCTTTCTGATGTCATCTTCCTAAGCTCATTTCAGCCAGAATTAGAAGCTGCTTTATTTTAAAAAAGTATAATTTCCACATGTTAATGATTTGTCCAAGGCATCTTCTTCTTAGAAATCATCATAATTAGTTCTTGCTATTTCATTAATGCCATGGGAAATTTATAATTGATGGACACTGCTTTTATAAATGATTCCCTTCAGAGGTTATAATGAGAGCATTATAATTTGCAATATTCATAAAATTAAAATGGAAATGTGGTAGGTAAAAATAAAATATAATTTTACCATTTGGCATTGGATTGCCTTTTTAAAGGTGCAATTTCATAATTCAAAAAAAGTTGTTCTCTCAAGATTTCTATTAAAAACCACATTTTCTAAGAATTTCTATCTTTGTTATTAAAAAGGGATAGGATACTGTTCCAAATTAAAGTTACTATTTAAAGTCACAGGTATAGAGTAGACTTTCCATGATTCTGGAATAAGGGAAACAGGTGGTGGAGTGTGGTGATGCTAGAGAGGAAGAACATGAGAATAGGAGAAAATGTAATTGTTGGTTTCACCTGAATTTTAAATGAAATTTTGTGGCCTGTTGGTCATACTGGAGTGGAGTTAATGGGTTATTAAAAAAATTTTGTAAAGGCAATTATATAGCCTACTGCTTAAGCTGCAGGGTGTTACCTGCATCCCATATTGGAATGCCTCAGTTTGAGTCTCAGCTCCTCATTCCAGTTTCCTCCTGATACATATCCTGGGAAGCAGCAGGTGGTAACTCAAATTTTTGGGTCCCTGATACCCATGTGGGAGACCTGGAATGAGTTACAAGCTCCTGGTTTCAGTTAGGCATGTGGGCAATAAACGACCAAATGAGAGCTCACTGTCTCTCCCCACCTTCAACTCTAGCTCTGCCTCTCAAATAAATAAATAAATAGCTTTTTTAAAATCCTACAAGAAGAGGAAGAATTGGAAAGAGAAGAAATGTACATTCTAGTGTTTTCTAGTGACTTGCAGATATTTGTAAAATAATTAAAGCCATCCTTTAATAGTGAATAAGCAGAATCATTTGCTGAATGAACTAAATAATCCCTTTTGATTGAGTGAGCAGTTCTTTACTTGATAGACCCTTATGTCTCAGGCTCCTCAAGCTCAATTAATCAATAATTCCAAGACTGATTTTTCCAATATTGTTTGTATATGCTTAAACTGTTATAAATCTGAGGGCATTGGTCCTTAAACTTTCAGATAAACATTGGACACATTTAGTATATAGATTTTCCCAGTGAAAAATTTCAAAAGATCAAAATAAGGAATTATTAAAAGAAAACAAAGCTTCCACTCACATAGAATCAGAAGTTTTATCAGAGTGACAAAAGCAAGGAGATTCTGAGCAAATCCCAGCTCTGCCTGCCCAATTAGTCAAAGCATCTTTCTCTTAGTGCTGCTCCAAGGCATAGGTATCAGAGAAGAATGTATAGTATTTCACTTTGACTTACTTTATGCATCATCACCATTTAGTAGCTTTCAAGTGAAATTTGATGTCTTAGTGTTCAGTCAAGGCTACCAGTGATTTTCAAATATGTGCAAGATGAGCATTCTGGCAAAAACTACCAGTATTCAAAATCAAAGGGAAATATTAGTGATCAAACATGGAGAAAATTCATGTTCTATATTCATTCAAAAATGCAAGTTTTTAAATGGTATTTTTAAATTAACAAGAAAATGTTACATTATTAATGCCTGGAGTTAACAAAAGAAAAATGGAAGGAAAAAATCCCTGCAAATTAAACTTCTCGTAAGCTACTGAGAGGAGTGGAATTGGTCATTGTGAATTCAGAGAAACTTGGCATTATGTAGAAAAAGTTCCAGAAGTGAACATTTATACATTTAAATCCAGTATTTCAAATTCTGGAGATTTGAATTTCCTCTACTGAATAAAATAATTATAAGAAAACAGGTTATCTGTATGGCGTTGTTTTGCATTATGTATAATAGCACACAATTACAAACCTAATAATCAGTAATGGGAGAGTAATTAATTACATCATAGTGCACTCAAGAGAATACTTTATAACCATTGAAATGAAGCAAAGGTAGAGATTGTACAGTTGCACAAAATGCTTATAATATTATGTTCAAGTAAAATATAGCTGCAAATTTATATTCACACTACAAGTATGACCATGAAAAGCTTCTATATGCATCTGAATGAAACTGGAAGGGAAAGAGATCATAGCTGTAATAGAAGAGTAAGATTATGAGTATTTTCCCTCTCTATATACTTTGTTATTTTTTCCTTTAGGGAAACACATTGTTTCTTAAAAACATAAAAAGCAAAATAAATTTTATTTTATGGTAAAAATGCATACTGAGATATTAAATAATATTTGTTTCCATTAGAAGACATTTTCCCTTAGTTATTTATCTCCAAAAATATTAATTTCTTGTAAGCATCAATTATTTTTCTTTTTTTAAAAAAGATTTTATGTATTTATTTGAGAGGAAGAGTTAGACAGTGAGAGAGAGAAAGAGACAGAGAGAAAGGTCTTCCCTCCGTTGGTTCACTCCCCAAATGGCTGCAATGGTGGGAGCTGCACTGATCCGAAGCCAGGAGCCAGGTGCCTCTTCCTGGCCTCCCATGTGATTGCAGGGGCCCAAGGACTTGGAACATATTCTACTGCTTTCCCAGCCCATAGCAGAGATCTGGATCAGAAATGGAGAGCTGAGTCTAGAACTGGTGCCCAAATGGGATGCTGGTGCTGCAGGTGGAGGATTAACCCACTGCACCACAGCGCCAGCTCCATCATTTATTTTTCAATAGGTCATATTTTACTCCCCACAGAAATGTATCTCAGTGGTACCTGATGGAAGTCAATGGAAAAATTATGGACATTAAGTCAATATTTTAAAATTTATTTTGAGATTATTTCACATTCACATGCAGTTTAAGAACTACAACAGAGTTCCTATGTGTCCTTCATCCAGTTTTCCCCATAGTAACATCTTGCATGACTATAGTACAATATTGCAACCAGGACATTGACATTGATATAATCTATGACTTAATTCAGATTTCACCAGTTTTATATGCACTTATTTGTGTGTCTTCTCTGTATTTTTTATTTTCTTTTGCATGCATATGTGTATAATTTTTTTAATGAGAGAAATTTCAGTTGGGAATAAAATGAATTAAAGCAACTAGACTTTCTGGTCCATTTAAGCAATGGAAACTCCACCACCAAGTCACTTCAAATATGGATACAATTAGAGGGTGACTGTAATATGAACATAGTTTTAGTACTGCAATATTATGTTGACGAGTTTTTTATTACTCCCTGACAGTATGCAGGCTACAGAGAGAAGAGAGAGAGAGCCCCATTTTCCTCATTCAAGTTATTATAGTTGCTCTGTGCCCTGGGAATCTGCAATAGAAATGTATTTGTGAAAACAAGTGGGGCATCACAAAGACTTGACATTTCAGTTATCCAACTGTCAAAGTTAGATTTATTATAAAATAAAAATCCTTTTGCTTAATACTGTAAGAACAATGGAACCCATATCAAGCGTTCAAAAGAACTGAAGCAGTAACCAGAAGGGTGGAATGATTAGGAGGCTCAGAGTCTTGGGGGAGTGAACTTGAGCACCCTGGTGTTCTGAAGAGGCTGCTGAAATGAAGCATCAAGTGTGGAAGCCCTGCATCCTGCAGAGTCTCTATCGCCTTCTCGTAAATGAGAACTCATCTGAGCTGCCTGTGCACACACTTTAAACGTCCTTCCACCACACTGGATTCCATTACTTATTCTCCTACAAGTACCTGTGAAATTGCACTAAAGCTCAGACAATGATTTTATGCAATGAATTGATTTTTCAAGAGTCTAAATGCCCAGAATGGAATGTGCTTGGCTAGAAGAAAAAAAAAAAAAGATGGAAACTGTTCAACCTTTTATCACTGGTGTGGAACAGTAACAATTAAAGAGAATAGGAAGACAAAATATACAAGCATCATAAATTAAGAGCAGAGGCCTTAAAATGCTGTGAAATGGACTGCCTTTTAATGAAAAAAAAAAAAAAGCCAAGCTACTGTCTATAGGAATATATTCAAAACCTGAGCCATTAGAAAAGACATTTTAACTGTGTGATTGAGGTATCCCCAGGCTCATGTCAGACACAGCTGTGTATTATTTACCTCATCTGTCAAAAACTGAGCTGAGACTGACATTTTTGCCCACCTCTCATGGAAAACCAATAATGTTGTTGAAGTAGAGTATTGCTATATGTGGGGAGCAGGGCCCATCTCCTGCAACATGGCGAAATAACTACTGAGACTATTGAGACTAACTCTATGCGCCTGATCTCCCACCATATGGCGCTGAGAGGGAGTAAACAAATCTTACACAGCTGCTTCGTCAATTAGCTGATTCCTGATCCAACCTCTGATTGGAGGAGAACAGCGTGCTCAGCATGTGGGCAGCAGAGCACGGATTGGTGGGAGAGGACTATAAAGGCGAGATAGAAGCAGCACAGGGGAATTCACTTATGCGCCGCGAGGTGCTGCAGACATCTCCCACCACGCGCTGAAAGAATAACAGGAATGTGGACACACACCAAGTGGAATGTGGTTAGAATGGAGCAAACTTGAGCGCACAATTGCAGAGTCATTCGCTTAAACAACTGCGTCAGGTCCGTCCGGTGTCGTTCTCCCGTGAGCCTGCAGAGGAGTGAGCCTGCAGAGGAGCGACAAGTGGTGCCGTGACTCGGATGCGGACTGCTGTAAAGGGAGAGAGAGACAAAGGAAGAAAAGCCGCGGGGAGAGAGAGACTGAGAAAAGCCGCGGGAGAGACAAAAAAGCCACGGGGGGAGAGAGAGACGAAAACCCACTGGGGAGAGAGAGACAAAAAGCCACGGGGAGAGAGAGAAAAGCTGCGGGAGAGAGAGAGACAAAAAGCTGTGGGGGAGAAAAGCCGCAGGGGAGAGAGAGACAAAAAAGCCGTGGGGGAGAGAGAGACAGAAAAGCCACAGGGAGAGACAAAGGGAGAAAAGCCGTGGGGAGAGACTGAGAAAAGCCGCAGGGAAGAGAGAGAATGAGAAAAGCTGTGGGAGAGACAAAAAGCCGTGGGGGAGAAAAGCCGCAGGGGAGAGAGAGACAAAAAAGCCACGGGGGAGAGAGAGATGAAAAGCCGCGGGGGGAGAGAGAGACAGAAAAGCCACGGGGGAGAGAGAGATGAAAAGCCGCGGGGGAGAGAGAGACTGAGAAAAGCCACAGGGGAGAGAGAGAGAGACTAAAAGCCGCGGGGGAGAGAGAGAGACTAAAAGCCATGGGGGAAAAAAGCCGTGGGGGAGAGAGAGACAGAGAGAAAAAGCTGCGGGAAGAAAGCCGCGGGAGAGAAAGAAAGCCGCGGGGGAAAAAAGTCGCAGGGGGAGAAGAAAGCCGGGAAATAGAGAGAAATAAGAAAGCCGGAGAAAGGAAAATAAGAGAGTTGGGAAATAGAAAAAAAAAAAAATAAGAAAGTCTCCCCACAACATGGCGATGAGAGGGCTCGGATTCAGACTGCCTAGGGCGATAAGCACCTGCGGGCAACTCTAGCAGAACAGAGTATGCGTCGCGGGGCACCGAAGACAGGCATGTATCAACGCCACAAAGAATAAAAAGAAGGGGGACCTGTGGGGAGCAGGGCCTGTCTCCCGCAACATGGCGAAATAACTACTGAGACTATTGAGACTAACTCTATGCGCCTGATCTCCCACCATATGGCGCTGAGAGGGAGTAAACAAATCTTACACAGCTGCTTCGTCAATTAGCTGATTCCTGATCCAACCTCTGATTGGAGGAGAACAGCGTGCTCAGCATGTGGGCAGCAGAGCACGGATTGGTGGGAGAGGACTATAAAGGCGAGATAGAAGCAGCACAGGGGAATTCACTTATGCGCCGCGAGGTGCTGCAGACATCTCCCACCACGCGCTGAAAGAATAACAAGAATGTGGACACACACCAAGTGGAATGTGGTTAGAATGCGGTTAGCACAGGAGCAAACTTGAGCGCACAATTGCAGAGTCATTCGCTTAAACAACTGCGTCGGGTCCAGTGTCGTTCTCCCGCAAGCCCGCGGAGGAGCGACACTATAAACAGTGTTTTGCCAGGATTTTTACATAGATACAAACTCACAATAATTCCATAGCATTGTCCTAGAACATGGGCTCAGGGTTGAGCTGATGTCTGGAGCTCAGTTCTGAATGCCACACAAGTCCTATTATTCTGTTTGATCATCATTTTGTAGATGTTTTCAGGAAAGCACTAGTCCATCTCTAGAGCAAATCTAGGCTCAACTAGTTAGTCCATCAGAACATCAATGACTGGGTAGTTTTCTTAGAAGGGTCATCCAGACTCCACTTGAGCTTTTTCTTTCTCTTCAAAGGTATGCAATGAGGCTGAAGAACTTTGCAAGCCCCTTGGCTTCAGATGGGGACAAAAAACTTGCAGTATTATGGTGAGTCACGTAGAGGCCACAAGGATACCACTGAAATGTCCCAGAAGGATCCAAAGACTCCATATCAACTTAAGCTGCTTACCTCAGATCATTATTTTTGTTTTCCATTAAACTATTAAAAGACAACTTGTGGATTTCTTTAGTCACTAACTCAACATTTACTCTCCTAATTTATACACTTATCAATATGTGGTTTTAATGCTTCCCCCTTCCTGTATTAAAGTTTTCCTTATTTACTTCTATCCCTCAATTTAACCACAAAAGAGTAACTATAAAATATGAATGAACATTTTTTTACATTTTATAGGTTTCATTAAACACTGGCTTTAATATAATCATTTCATTTGTCACCATAGCTACCGATGCTTATCACTTCTCTACTTGAGGATGTTTAAACTGAAGAAGGACCATGCTATGAAGTACTCTAGATCACTGATGGAATACTTTAAGGTAATCCTTATTTTCTGTAGTTTATAGGTACAAGGTGATAAAAGCACTAATGGGACATGACAGGAATGTTATTAGATGTCAAATGACAAAAACAAGGTTGCTGAGGCCAAAGGCTTAACCTTTCTCATCCCAGCAGGCCAGAGCCTCTCATACATCCTCTGGGGATAAGCAGGGAATTTAACACCTGATTTGATTCCAAGGAAAGAAGATACATTAGTACAAAGCCTAACTATCTTTTTTTGACTGACCAAATGGCCCTTGGTGACCTCTTAGTTGCAGTCAGAGGGATGTTGTTGTGTGCTCCAACCTCTAAGGTGGGTACAGATTGTGGCTATAGGTATGGCCAATCTCTTGTTAAATGAGAGGTCATCCCAGGATTCTCCCAGTAGCCAGACAAGTCATTGTGGTCACCGTGGCTCTGGGTGGACATCCACACCCTCTGAAGCCTTGTGGTCATGGAAACTATTGGAGTGCAATGGTTTCAATTTAAGATAACCCATTGCCCTGGCTACCAAAGCAAACAAACACAAATGAAGCCATCATCTAAGGAGCTGACTACCATACTCCACAATACTGCTGCTGTCCTCCTTGGGGATGCAGAAATCTCCTTTAGTTGGGCAGGGCTCTAAAATATGATTTTTTTTTTTGGCTGAGTACTTGAGAACTTTTGGCTAAATTGTTTCAAAGCTATTTTTGAAATAAATCAGATCACAACCTTGCATCAAACATCTAGTGTATGGGGACTTTGTGACTCAAATGGGAAAAAGACCAATATCCCTAGCTATTCTGTGATATGGTCATAATGCCATAAAACTAGTGCTCATGTAGGTGAAAGGAGGCCACATTACAACAGTTCCCCATCCTTTCATATCTACCCTGTTAATCTATGCTCTGGAAGGTGGTTCTTGAACTTCATTGGAAATCAGAGTCCCTTGGAGGGTTTGTGAGAACACAGAATGTTGGGTTGCATCCAAACAACATCTGATTCTGTAGATCTGGGACATATTTGCAAAATGTGCCTTTCTAATGAGTGCCCACATGATGCTAATGCTGCTGGTCTTGTGATCACACTTTGAGAGCCACTGCTCTAGCATTTGTCCTCCTTTGCCTGTCCTCTGTATCTTTCAGAGTATTGTAAAATAACCAAATAGATATTCAGTAACTCATTCATCCAGGAGTGTGTTGAGCTTCTTTGAGGTTAAAAATTGGAATATGCAGAATGCACCTTAATTGTGAGTTTCCAAGCTTCAGATAAGCCTTGCTTTCTTACTGGACTCATGGAAATACTATCTCTCTAATACTCCCTTTGCAAAATGGGCTGGGCTAGATTCCAAGAAACAAGGGAAAAACATCACCAGGGCCATGACTGCCAAGAGCAAAGACAGACTGTGTGCCACAGGTGTCCTGGCCATCTGTGCTGCTCAAGCTCCAGCCTGGCCAGGCCATATATGACCCCGATTCCTGTCCTGTTGGAGTCATACTTATGTCAGGTTTCCTACTGATCCACAAGTAAATGGCCACAACAATGCAGGGGGCCCATTTATCAGCCAGCCAGTTCCATCAGAGACATGAAACAAAATGTTTAGAGTTCGATTTCCCGATGCAATGAACCCCTGGACCATTTGCATTGCTGACCAGAGAAAACCTCAGCTATGATAGGAAAGATCAGGTAAAGATAGCATATCAATGGTTCTTGCGAACAACCAACCATAGCAACAAAGTCACTGCTTGGTTCTGGTACATTCCTGAGATATCACCCTACATTCCACCGTACATCCCACCCTACATCCCAGGGAAAATGTTTGCAGCCCACCCTACATCCCAGGGAAAATGTTTGCAACTGGAGTTAAAGGTGAAAACCTTACTTGTACTCTGAAGAGCTTGTTTTGCAGAATAAATTTCAGATGAGGATAATTAAACCACTTCTTGGAGAACCGCATCTGATTTCACTGGGACTTTTAGTATATAAGATTTTTCATCAAGTGACTTTCATGGTCCTGATTGGAGCCCACTAATTATCCTACCCAGCTATTTTCATCGAGTATGCGTTGTGGTGTGCTGACGTGCACATACATCCTAGCTCTGCATCCGAAATGCTGCAATCAATATTAATGTACTCTAAATCACACTTCCATCTGTTTCTGAATTAATAAAACACAAAATAGATGTCCTTATTTCCCTCTCTCTCTCTCTTTTAGCAAAATGCTTCAAAAGTCGCTCAGATACCATCTCCATGGGTAGGCAATGGAAAGTAAGTATTTTATGAAAATTGCTTTTTCATGAAAGTGAGTGATTGAATAGACCCCAAATGTTTTGCATTGACAATTCAGGAGCAAGGGCCACAGTCATTTTTGTGCACACACAAAATTTTATCAAGGCTTCAGCTAACAGAAAGACAGAAAAGTTTAAAACAATCTTGTTCCAAATTCTATTTTTTCTTTAAGCCAAATTGTAACCATAAAATATAGTCTAACGAGATGGTAAACAACGTGCCATTTCAGGGAGGCATGGTAAAATGAACTCCGCTATAGTGATTTGTCAATGATTCACTCAGTAATGAAAGACCAATGAAATATTTATTGATATATAATAAGTGCTGTTTAATAAAGCCAGAGGCATTGTAGGGCTGAAAATGTGAAGACACTTAGCCAATTATCCCGGCCTTCATGAGGATTTCTATATTTAATACTAAAGGACCATCGTCTAAAGTACAAAAGCATTTACTGTAATGCTGATGTGAGGCTGCATAAACTCCCCCATGCCTGTGGCCTCATTTAGAATTGCATCTCCCCTGGAGGAGCTCAGTCCAAGCAGCAGTACCAGGAGAGTCCAGAAACCATTGACCTGGTCCTAAAGCTGCCCTCACCTCAGAGGCTAAGTCAAGTGAGCCCATTCTTCTCTCGTGGTTTTTTCATCTCTAAAATGAAGGGACTTTCCCCCAAGACCCTCTGTGGTGCACTGAGGAGAAGCTTCTTAGATTGATTTTGAATCCCGATTTTATATTATCCACAAAGTGACTAAGTTAGCAATGGGTTTTGCTAACTTGTCTGAGCATCACTGTTTCCTCTGATTCCAAAACCTTCCTCACCACCATGCACCCACCTCCCACCAGTAGTGGGAAGAGAATCTAGGTAACTGTGGACAAGCAAGAGTACTTTTAAAAGTTCATGGAGACCGGCGCGTTGGCTCACTTGGCTAATCCCCCACCTGCAGTGCCGGCACCCTGGGTTCTAGTCCCAGTTGGGGTGCCAGGTACTAGTCCAGGTTGCTCCTCTTCCAGTTCAGCTCTCTGCTGTGGCCCGGGAGGGCAGAGGAGGATGGCCCAAGTGCTTGGGTCCCTGCACCCACATGGGAGACCAGGAGGAAGTACCCGGCTCCTGGCTTCGGATCGGCGCAGCGCCGGCCATGGCGGCCATTAGGGGAGTGAACCAAGGGAAGGAAGACCTTTCTCTCTGTCTCTCTCTCACTGTCTATAACTCTCTCTCTGTCTCTCTCTCACACTAACTCTGCCTGGCAAAAGATAAAAAAGAAGACCTGCAAATAAAAAAAAAAAGTTCATGGAAAAATATAATTAAAAGATGAGTTTATTGTGGTGCAAAACTTTTTTTAAATTCATGCATAGTTTTTCATAATATGCATTTCCCATGGACTTTTTAAAAATCCCTTGCATGTTTTCACAAGGAGTTTGCTTTATAACTCCAAGCTGCTTTTACAATTTCTCATCATTTCAAATTCTTGTGTCACTGATCAAAATACTTTAAGAGTAAAATAGTTTCCACTGCCACTTATAAATATCTATAAAGCATACTCCAAAAGCAGCGGGACAATGAACTCTACTTTGAGATCATAAAAACATTCAGAGTGAGGGAACAGATCCATTTAAAAAAAAAAAACCACACATTAACTCAATTATTGTATTGAAAGGAAGCAGTGTTTAGATGGTTGAATTAAGTCTTACTCTTAGATTGATGAACAAAAGGGAAAGAGCGCTTCTCTCTGGAAGTTCAGAAATAAAAATAACTATTGAAAGGCCAGAGAAAGTTGTTTTATCTGAGCACAGAGCGAAGCAAGGGCAAGGTCAGGTAAGCAGGTATTAAAGGATCACTGGGAGAAACACATTTAAAAAAATTCAGAACCAAAAAACTCGAATACATCCTAAGCTTGTGAAGTCACATTAAAAGCTTCCTGAAATGATTTTTAAGCAGCTTCTGTCTGAACAAAGCACACTCCCTTTGGTAAGCCATAGAGCTTTTGAATGAGGCAGCTCCAAACAGCCATCCAGTGGTTAAATCCCATTCATTCAGCAAGCCCTTTGGGCACAGCTCTTCCATATCAGGCCCTGTGGGAGGGGCTGGGGACACAGAGCTGAATTATATGTGGACCCTGTACTCCAGAAGCACAGAGGTTAGTAGAAGAAGGTGACAGGTGTGAACCAAGTGCTGTGGAAGATCAGGAGAGAGTTTGTGCCTTCCTGCATGGCCAGCAAGGGCATTCTATCTGCAAGAAAGACTATGGCCAGGTTTCCAAGTAAATAAGGATGACAGTCACAGCAAAGGGCCTCTCAGTGGCACCTCTCCAGAGAAACACTCTCTGACTTCAAACCCAGCTAAGCTGGATAGTGATTGGGAAGTCAATTGCCCACGAGAGTTCCATGGAAAAGTATATAGGGACACAAGCAGAAGGTTGAGAACAGACCTTTAGAATCTAGCATCTATGGAACTAGGGGAGAAAGTGCGGAGAAGCAATTTGAAGGAAGAGAAAAATCTCCTTACTATAGAGCAGATGCCAGCAAACATTTTCTATAAAGGGATAGGTACTATATGTTTTGGAGTTTACAGGTCAAGAGCAAAACTAAGGCTACTATATAGAATAGAAGAGAGAAAAACAATTTCTATATTTTTACTAATGAAATCAAGATATAATAACTAGTGTAACTTTTAAAATATAAATCTAGTAATAAGAATGGAATTATATTTTATTTTTTTATTTGACAGATAGAGTTAGACAGTGAGAGAGACAGAGAGAAAGGTCTTCCTTCCGTTGGTTCACGCCCTAAATGGCTGGAGCTACACTGATCCAAAGCCAGGAGCCAGGTGCTTCCTCCTGGTTTCCCATGTGGGTGCAGGGGCCCAAGCACTTGAGCCATCCTCCACTGCCTTCCTGGGCCACAGCAGAGAGCTGGACTGGAAGAGGAGCAACCAGGACTAGAACCCAGCACCCATATGGGATGCTGGCACCGCAGGCAGAGGATTAACCAAGTGAGCCGGCCCTGGAATTATCTTTTAAATAACATTTTAGCTCATTGGGGTTCAGAGTGAATGTTCCCAAGGTTAACCCTCAACTAAATAAAGAATTCAACAAGTAGTAAGTAGAAAAAACACTATTTCAAAATAGTATAGACAAAGGCTATAAACAATAATCAGATTTCAAAATGTCAAATTCACTCATATACTAAGCTTGTGATTATAAAGAAAATTGAAAGAATGCCATTTTAAAAAATTAAAAGAAAAATAAGAGAAGGAGGGAGGATGGGAGTAAGGGAGAGAGGGAGGGTAGGGTGAGAAGTATCATTATGCTCTTAAAACTGTATATCCAAAGGCCGGCGCTGCGGCTCACTAGGCTGACCCTCTGCCTGCGGTGCTGGCACCCCAGGTTCCAATCCCGGTTGGGGCACCGGTTGCAGTGGAGGATGGCCCAAGTGCTTGGGCCCTGCACCTGCATGGGAGACCAGGAGAAAGTACCTGGCTCCTGGCTTCAGATCTGCACGGCACGCCGGCTGTAGTGGCCATTTTGGGGGTTAATCAACGTAAGGAAGACCTTTCTCTCTCTCTCTCTCTCTCAGTCTAACTCTGCCTATCCAAAAAAAAAAAAAAAAAAAACTGTATATCTGAAATACATGAAATTTGTTCCCTTTTTATAATTATTTAAAAAAAATAAGAAATATTAAGTCATCATAAAAATGATTGTCTTCTCTCATGAAATTGATTCAACTGTTGATCTTTTCAAATCATTTGTGGCTCACAGGCCATACAAAACAGAAGGTAGGTCAGATTTACCAACTCCTGATGTAGAGTTAACATTTTGGAGACTGTAAAAGGGCTGGGCAACATTGTACAGTGTCACAGAGAGATAATAAAAAGAAAGACGGCTAGGAATTGTACTAAATTTTTAAAGAAGGAGGCTCTTTGAAGCCTCCGGAAGAGATGTTTCAGGAAACAGGTGGTTATGGGTGCCACATTAAAGGTGTCAGAAGAAGGAATATTCCCACTTGTTTAATATATTGATCAACTATCTATATATATATAAATATGCCATCAGATATATATATATCAATATGCTATCAGAATCCTCACATTTCTTATACTCCCTCAAAAATTTTTGTCCTGATAAAATGATGCACTTGCTTGAGCATTTGCTGATAGTGTGAGTGAAAGGAGGCCAAGGGACAGAAAGACATTGCACAAGAAGCCACTAACCCTTAAGTACGTGTCTCTGGGCAAGCCTACACTAGGCCTACCTAAGCCTAAACCATGGAGGAAAAATTACCTACATGCTCTATGGTGATTTCAGACAGCAGGTGATTTCTTGTTGCTGATGTTAAAGATTGCAATGATAATCTGTGTCCAAACACAGCCCAATGTAGGAACTCTGAAGATTTCTTTTTATAAACCAGCATGCAGGTGAACAGTCAGCAATTAACAGCCCATCCCTGCAACATGCCTTAAAGAATCTTAAAGAGATATTCAGAATCCCACTTTTTCAGCTTTCCTAATACTGCTCCCTGGGGGGCTTTTACAATTGCACTTGGTTTATTGCGGTAACTGTATTTGGAGCAAACTGTCATTGTGGTTTCCACAAAACATTTCAATGATGGACTGATATTGCACATCAAGTGTTTTCTAACTGCCAGTAGCTTTTCTGGCAGCAGGTAGAGAAATCATCATAGCTCTGAGCTATTTCTTTCTCTGAAACATTGCAAAACTTGTCATATATATTCAAAGTAAGAGATACATTTGTGGGTAGAGTCGTTCCAGAGAAAGATTCACTCAACTCTGTTTTGCATTTTCAAACAAAAGCAGCAGTGTGCACAGAGCCCTCAGTGGTTGTCAAAGTCAGTAAGAATTGGGTGCCTTGTACTAGAAAAAGAGAAGGGGCTGCTTCTACAGCCTGGCACTGTAGCCCTATGGGGGCAGGTGTACTGTGGTGATAAGTTCTCTCTATGCTGGCGCCTCTGGAAAAAGCTATCAGGATACCTCAAAAATATGGAAAATTAAATTAAATGATAAGTTTATTTTGGTACAAAAATTTTTTTGAAATGCATGCATAGATTTTTCATAATACATACTTCCAAGAATTTTTGAAGACCCTGTGTATTATGTTGGAAACAACTATGGAATGCCATCTAAGAAGAGATCCTGGGAGGCTGCACTCCACTGAGGGCATCATCTTTGTGCACCATGCTAAACGTCACACTGGCAAATGATATACTGAGGAGATCCCAGAGTGATGAGGGTCAATTGGAGGCTCACTGTTATTCTTCCCTGTCAGCCTATAACAAGGACTGTCTTTCCATTTCCCAGGAACACTCCTTCCCCAGTGTCTCTCAACAATGTCTCTCCTATCAATGCCATGGGAAATTGTAACAACGGCCCTGTCACCATCCCCCAGCGTATTCACCACATGGCTGCCAGTCATGTCAACATCACTAGCAATGTATTACGGGGCTATGAACACTGGGACATGGCTGACAAACTGACAAGAGAGAACAAAGGTATGATCATCTGCTATACCCATTGCTCACATACTGATGGAGTCAATTGTGCTTTGAAGGACTTGAGTTTTGGTGGCTTTATATCTCCCTGCATTTCTTACTTCCAGGGCTTAGGTGAGGGAAGAGAGAGTTATCTCAGAGCTGACACAGTGACCTACTTTTGCCAAAAGAGTGAAAAAGGCCTGAGATTGTGTTCTCCTTTAAAACTTAAACAAGTCTAAACTGTGAGATGTTGGCAAAAATCTATTTTAGAATTTTACACAGTCATAAAGATCAATACAGAGAAACAGAGGCAAAAGCAAAAATAATGATTTGCAAATTAATTAAGACCCTGCTGGCTTCTGTTAACTTTTTTTTTTTTTGGAGAGGTAAAGTAGAACTAAGGGTTGCTACCTTCATCAAAATTATCACCTCCACTTGAGTACATGATATTGTGGCTTGCATTTGGAAGCAAAGGCCAAAGCTAAGCTGGTATTTTTCACACACTGACAGATTGGATGAAGAATCAGCGTCCTTCCTGTTCATGGTGATGCATGAGGTTTGCTACAAAACAAATGCAAAGAGAACTCCACTTCACCAGAGAGTGAGTCAGTAATTTTTGGTGACTCAAACTGCCATCCATGAACATTATTTAAACTGCCATTATAAACATTAGCATTATTTCACTCTAACATCAGCACATTCCACCATGTCACTCCTGGAAAGTTCTGTAGCTAATTTAGAAGGAATTACTTTGAAAGGGGTGCACAACAAGGTGTCATTTAGGTGCACAACAAAGTGTCACTATCCTAATGAAGATGGGGAAAAAATTAGCTACACTTTTGCCCTGGCCATTCACTTGGCTTGGCTGACTCGAGCCAAGCAGTTACTGGTGGGGACAGATTTGGGCCTTTCAGAATCAGACTACAATGATATAACCAGCAGTCTTGAACAGTAGAAACCTATGTCCAGTAATGGGGAGGCATTAGCATTCTTCACAATCTAAGGTACATGGGATGGGCTTAGGTGATGCCAGGTCTGAGCAGTTATATGGCATTTCAGAAATCAGACTGGGGCCACAGGCTGAATTAAATCATATGTGTAAAGCACCTAGTTTTTTTTAATCCATATTATTATATTTCTATAAACACAAAGATTCTTTGGACATCAAAGCACATTACATAATTTGAGACTTCAAATCTCAGCCCAAGCACAAACTTACTCAGACTCCTGGAAATTTGTGCATGTATTGGTTACATTTCTTTGTGCAGTTCTGTATGCCAGGAACTATACTATTTACTTTGATCATTTGTTGCTTCATTTATCCCTATTTTATAGATAAAGAAAACTGAGACTCAGTGAGATTAACAAACTCACCCATGATATCACAGCTCTCAATGTTTATTAGAAGCAGCTGTTGTATCTAGAAGTGTCTGATTCCAGAGTCTTAATTCATAACCAATAGACTACACTGCCCATAAAGCAAGGAAGATTAACAATGGATCCCCAAAGACTTTCAGTGAGATCCTGAACTCAGTTGTCTGAGCAATGGGAAATTCACAAATTGTCTACTTTTCCAGATTTCTGGAAATACAGAGATGACTGGCTCCCAAAACCAGAACCATCCCAGGGTTCTAGAATGCAAGCAAAGATATGGGCATCTCAAATTTGCCAAGCTTGTCTGCCTCCACCCTTTCTCTTATTTTGTTTTGGTGTCTGGAGGGCAGTTCAATATTTATGGATTTTCTCTAAAACTGCACCCCCTTTCTAAGTAATTCCTTCTAAATTAGCTACAGAACTTTCCAGGAGTGACATGGTGAAATGTGCTGATGTTAGAGTGAAATAATGGTAATCTTGTCATTAGCTCAGCATGTCAAAGAGTTGCTAAATTCTCTAATATTGAGTCAGAACAGCTCCCTCACCCCAATTGCAGAGAGAAAATGTGTCCTGCTAATGCTGTCCATTGGGTCCTTCAGTGCACTATGGTGAGGACCTAGTTTGGATTCATTAACTCAAAGCTTGAGTTTAAGTCACTTGTAATATTTGATTTGCTAAGATTTGGGGATTCTTCTCTCATCTGGTTTGTCAGTATGGAAATGGAGGAAGTGAGGGTTTCCATTTGGTTGGAGTTCTGCATCCCACTGGAGACAGCTATGTACTTTCACAGTTTTCCATCCAATGATACAATATAGACAACTAAGGTTGGCTGTCCCAGTGGAAGTTCTCCACTCCAGCCATACCTTCCAACCCATGTAGATACAGGTGGCTTATTGAAGACAATTCTGGTGTTGAAATGGGTCAATGGAGTTCATGGTGCCCTCTGGCGTTTAGTCTAGAAGTCCTGTTGCCTACCTGCCAAACTGTTTACACTGCTCACTTGAAACAGTTATTAAAATAATGACCTGGGTGTCTAGTTAAGAATGCCATAGAGAGATCTTTACAAAACACTCAGGGGACGTCCTGGTTCATATAAGGTTTCACATTCATTCCACAATGACTGGGTACTTTAACATTTTCTTTAAGACTGTATTATGTAGCCGGCGCCGCGGCTCACTAGGCTAATCCTCCGCCTAGCGGCGCCGGCACACCGGGTTCTAGTCCCGGTCGGGGCGCCGGATTCTGTCCCGGTTGCCCCTCTTCCAGGCCAGCCCTCTGCTGTGGCCAGGGAGTGCAGTGGAGGATGGCCCAGGTGCTTGGGCCCTGCACCCCATGGGAGACCAGGAAAAGCACCTGGCTCCTGGCTCCTGCCATCGGATCAGCGCGGTGCGCCGGCCGCAGCGCGCCGGCGCGCGCCATGGAGGGTGAACCAACGGCAAAGGAAGACCTTTCTCTCTGTCTCTCTCTCTCACTGTCCACTCTGCCTGTCAAAAAAAAAAAAAAAAAAAGACTGTATTATGTAAGAAAATATTTTAGATGCCAATGATAATTTGCTCTCTTATTATAAGAAATTATTTTTATTGCATAGTACAAGTTAAAACAATATCTATCACGTAATCAAATGAAGTTGATGCCTGAAGAAGCAACCCACATGTTATACATAACATGAAGAGTAAATGCACTATTTAGTGAAATACCATCTGCTGATCAGTCAAGCACAGGTAACCCATACACAAAAATTGCTTTCCAAGAAGGCAGGAGAACATCCCCACCAGTTTAGGACAGTCTTCACCAGCTCCCCCACCCCACCAGCTTCCTCACTCCAGCCAGCACAGGTGTGATTTACTCACCACTGAGGCGGCCTGCTCTTTCAGAAGCTAACAAAGAGGACACCATAGAACCCTCTCAGAACCAAGTGCTAGAAAATCAGTTCAAATGTGCAAAGAGGACATCTGGCTAGTTTTCAGATATCATATTGTTTTTCTCACATGCTTCTCCACCCAAGACAGACGCTCTAAACCTCTTGCTGCATGAGTTAGTGGAGTAGTCTCAGGAATGCCCCTTCCTTACATCAACTTAATGGGAATCAGCCACGCCTTCTTACCAACCATGTCCTGATGTGACAGAAATCCACAGGTCACTTTACATTCCAAAGTATTTGGTAAGAAAACTTACCAATCAGATGCATCCTAGCTGTCATGTGGCTCTGGATGCTGATGACTATAATTGCTGTCCAGATTCTCCAGCTTTGTCTATAAAATGCCAAGAAAAATAAGTAACCACAATTCATTTAGACAAAAAGAAAAGAGAGAATTTTTAATTCAAAAACATGTAAGATGAGAAACCGCTTGATACTGAGCTTCTTGAAATATTTTGTATAAGGACAATTTTATGGATACACATTTCTAACAACAATTTTATTGTAAACAAAGGAGATTCAAAAACTTCTTGGAAATGGAATTAAAGGATAATATGAGGGGCTAGCTCTCTGGCTTAGCAGGTAATGCCACTGCTTGCAGTACTGGCATCCCATATGGGTGCTGGTTCGAGTCCCAGCTGCTGCACTTCCGATTCAGCTCTCTGCTATGCCCTGGGATAGCAGTAGAAGATGGCCCAAGTCCTTGGGCCCTGAACCCATGTGAAAGACCTGGAAAAAGCTCCTGGCTCCTGGCTTTGGGTCGGCGCAGCTCCAGCCATTGCAGTCAGCTGGGGAGTGAACCAGTGGATAGAAGGTCTTTCTCTCTCTCTCTCTCTCTCTCTCTCTCTCTTTCTTCCTCTACCTATCTGTAACTCTGCCTTTCAAATAAATAAATAAGTCTTAAAAAAGAGATAATATGAATATCCTTTAAACTTTTTGCAGTCCCCTTATAGGACATATATTTTTACATGTAATTTATGTTTTAAACATATATAAATATTACATATTATATATGAATTTCCATATAAAATATAAGCAAATATATGTTTATATATAATACATAGTAATAGATGTGTGTATATACAGATACACTCACATGCACATACACATATACACACAAGGAGTCTTGAAAAAGTTCATGAAAAATGAATATTATGAAAAAAGTGTGCCTGGATTTTGAAAATTTGTTGTACCAAAGTAAACTTACTTTTAAATTCCATTTATTCGTAATTTTTTAAAAATATTCATTTATATATTCATTTATTTGAAAGGCAGAGCATTGGAGAGAGAGAGAAGGGGAGGAAGAAGGGAGGGGAGGGAGGGAGAGAGAGAGAGAGAGAGAGAGAGAGAGAGAAAGAGAGAGAGAGATCTTTCATCTCCTGGTTTACTCTCCAAATGACTTCAGTAGCCAGTGCTAGGTCATGCTGAAGCTAGGAGCCTAGAACTCAATCGAGGTTTTCCACATGGGTGGCAGGGATCAAACTACTTGAGCCATCACCTGCTGTTTCCCAGGGTGTGCATCAGCAAGAAGCTAGATCAGAGATAGAGTAGCCAGGATGTGAACCAGCACTTTGATATGGGATGTGAGTGTCCTAAGCTGTGACTTAACCCACTGCACTACAACACCTGCACCATCCACAGAACTTTTTGAAGTACCTTCGTGTGTGTGCATGTGTATGTGTGTGTATAACAAACTTTCATGGAGTTTTAATTTGCTCTTAGAATCTGATATCTGAGAAGATATGTACTGTTTTTTAAAAAATTAGTATGAATTCAAATACAGATTTAAGTGAATTGTGTTTTATTAATCATAATAACACTTACAAACATCATTTGTGCTACTGAGTTTTTGGAGTTCGCTAAAGATTAAAATAGCAGTACTTCATGTCCATATGATGTTCTGGTGTCCTAGTGGTTACTCTGTAAATTATTGTTAAATGAATGAATGAATGAACAAATGATTAATTGTTGTGGTGTTATGTGAAGGCCATTTTTTAGTCTGGCGCATATTTCCATGATAGCATTTAAAGGCCTGACAAAGAACTGCTCTGATTTTCAGAATTCTTTGGTGACCTGGACACGTTGATGGGGCCTCTGACACAGCACAGCAGCATGACCAATCTTGTCCGCTACGTTCGCCAGGGACTGTGTTGGCTGCGCATCGATGCTCATTTGTTGTAGTTGGTGCCCTCCCATCTCTAGCATCACCACCCATTACTCTACCTCTGCCAGCACAGCAATGGTCACTGGTGGAACTCCACTCATTTGGGAAAATTCTCTTTGGTTCTGTTTGTTTTTATGCTTCTTTTGATATCTGTAAAAAAAACTTAAATCATTTTAAGTGGACACTACAACTTGATAGCAGTATATGTTTTTTTACTTAGTCATTTTTCAGTGTTTGATATGCATTTCCCAGATCCCACCATTTATTTTGTGCTTTATAGAATGACCATCCCTTCAAGATTGTTTTAAGTCCACACTATCAAAAACAAATAATGGGAGGTATTTGTGTTGATGACAGGTTCCTGAGAAATGAAATATGGATGAGAACTTACACATAGGGACCTGCAAAGATTTTCAGCTAACTATGCTGTTAGGTCCAGAAAAGAACATATTTCAGAATCCACTGATAAACTCTGGTGATTACCACAGACTCAATCTTCACATGAGAATTTTCATTGTCAAACCCATGCCTTAGATGTTGTAGCAACACCGCAAAATCAAGAGTAATGAGAAAATAAATGAGCATAGCAATCCCACTTGTAAAATGATGCTATACCATGTCTGAGCATAGGATTTTTTTGTTATCCCTTACCTGATTCCCTATTTTTCAAAATATTAATGATGATAAGGAGAGGCAACATTTATTTTGACAGCTTTAAGGTGTCAGCTGGCATAAATATTTTTGAATTGAAGCATAAATGATCACCTGGGATTCTCTTTGTGCAAAGCTCTTTTGAAGAGCAGTTTGGTAACCAAAATGCTGCACTCCAGTCTTAGAATTGGGAGATAGGTTAGTTCTGAAAAATGTCTGACAAGAAATTCACACCTCTGCCTCCTTAACTGGCAGGATTTTTAATTTGCATTTTGCTCAAATCTATGGAAACAAAAGTCAAGTTATCATTACCTAGAAGTAATAATATACAGTTTGCTTCCTACTGGCTTTGAAATCTGGACTTCTCCAATTATTATCTACATTTTCCATTCTTCCGTATTTCTTTTATCTGTTTTCTATTTTATTTTATCTTTATTTCCTTTCCTTTTCTTTTTATTGGGGGCACATTAGATTGTGACTAAGATTAAGTCACTAATTTTACTAAAGTTAATATTAACATGAATCATTTACATGAAAATTCCAAAGAAAACCCCAAACTCTCTAAGTAGTAGCCACATTTTTATAAAGAAAAATGAGTATTGTGGTAGTGCTTCATACTGCAGTTCTCTGAACAAGCCCTAACTAATGGGAAGAGTTCATCTAATTTGGAAATATTTCCCTATTCCTTATGATCTTATGCATTCATTTTCTGTCCCTAAAAACCACAATGTAAATATCCTTTTTGGTGTTCCAACTCACCAGAAGAATCCCCACTTTTAGTAAACACTATCCATGTATTAGTTACTTGTAATTACCTGGTGATATATAATTCCATTTAACCTTTATTCCATTGAGCTATCGAATTCTGTTCACTGAATTAGGACCAAGTAAATAATAGATATGCACATGAAAGATACATATTTGTATTATTTTTAAAGAAAGTCATGCAGTCTGTGAAAGAAGCAGTAGATCAACATTTTGCACTCTCATTGTCAAGGTTAGGTATATCCCAAGTTGCAAACAGCCAGACTTGAGCTCTGCTCTGGTCCTCTTTGATTTTAAGGCCCTTTGTTGTATAATAAGGTTGTGGAAGTTATACTCCAATGACGAAGCATGTTTTTAATATGACTGATGGGAGCATCCAAGCAGCTGAACCCAGCACTTTTTATGCTCCCACTGTGGTTGAGCCTTATGTTTACAGTCTCAACAACACCACTCACATATATATGCACACACACACACACACACACGAAACTTGAAAGAATCTTTTCTGAGCCTCTTCAATGAGGAGAATGGTAATATGAAAGACACTGAACACCCAAGATGGGTATCACATATAAAAATTAACCTGATGACTTTGCATTAACTCAAATTATTGGTTTTCCATGGCCTACCAGGTAGAGTACCTGGCTACTACTGCATAATGAAGCCTACTTGCTTGACTTGTAAGTTCAACCTATACCACAATCCTAAACCATCATGGATTTAGAAGTAGATTCTTGAAATTAAATCTCCAGAAACTAGATATTAGACTGTTAGGGGCAGTTCCCAAGAAAATAAACATATTGCCTCATGTGTGAAAGACTTCCAGCTCTAGTTTCAGTGACTTGTTATATCTACGTACATACAACAGGGTGGTAAGAGGATTCTATGTCATCTCTGGTAGCTGAGTGTGAAGTATGTGCCAAGTCATCAGCATAGTTATCAATCTGACAGTTGAGCTCTGGATCACCACCTGATTATCTAGTAGATCCGCTTTTAAGGCAGCTTAGAAGCCAATTAAACATGGAGGATAAATTACCTTCCTATCCCTAGAGATAAGAGGTCTTTTGGTGTCATAATTAAGGATTGTTGCTGTTTTCTGGGCACTCTATTCATCACAGTGTAAATGGCAATGTGTGTTGTTTGTGTGCAGCTATTTGAGGGATTAAGGGATTGAAATATGTTGTCAAGTTAATCTTTTCAGCATACCAGTTTGTGGGATGGTTACAAGACATGTGGCTGGCAGTGAGAGAAACTGCCTCTAGACCTAGACAAAGACTTGGAGAGACACATCTAAATAATCACATTGAGGTAAAGTAACAAGCAGAGTAAGGAGCAGCTGCATCTCAGCAGATATATGGCCCATTCTCAGCTCTGCAGGGTGACCCAGATAAGGCCACCACTATGCCTTCATTTGTCACCCAAGCTCCAACCACAGAGAATTTGACAAGTTTGTGTTAGAACGTTGGCTTGGCTTGTATTTTTAATTAGCTTTGGATTTTTTAGTGGTTTTGTCATATTACTGTCTGAGTTTGGTAGGTAGGATTGATTTGAAAAGAGTTTACTAGTGTGGTTCTTGGGGTAGAATTTAGCTATAAGCATGTTGTTAGCCAGCCTGTAGACTGTTAATTACTTAATAATCTCATTGGGAAAATGCTAGTCATTTTATATTTGGATGACATAATTGGAAAAGCAGATTAGATGTTGCTACTTTTAAAAGACTTGGAACTGAGACCCCTTTTACCTGTGTATTGAAATAAAAAGATCTGAATGTTTAGTCAATGACCAAGCTGCAAAATTAGATACCATTGACTAAAATGTTTTTTTTTTTTTTTTGAGTTTCCAAATGGATGGGTTTTCATTTGGATGAGCCATCAAGAAAGACATTGGATTTGGTCTGCAATGGAAAGATATTTTTCTACCATGTCTTTCCCTAAGCTATCAATTTCAAAGTTTTGTGTTATTCCAATCTGTATCCCAGAGATTAAAGTTGGACTTTGGAGTCACAAAGCATTTTGAAGGCAGAATTGACTGAGCTGTGAGGGTAAAACCCTCATAAACTTCTCAACACACATGATAAAATTCACCTGCATGAGCTGGCAGGTGGGAACGCCAAACTGGATCACTGGGTAGGACTACTCAGTAAAGCAATGAATTGTTTGCTTAGAAAAGCATCACTATCCCCATTGAGAAAAATGTGTGGCGAGATGATATAGCTACACAATATCAAATGAATGGGTTGATTCAGTGCCCCCAAATTCAATTCTGTGGGGAAAAATATTGAGCCAGTTGTCAGTGTTCTGTTATGCAACTGGCAGACTAAATTCTTTGTCGTCGTTGTTATTGTTGTTGTTGCTGTTGTTTCTCATTTCCACTCACAGCCTTATTCTTATAATTAAACTCTGATTCATTTTCTCTTTGGTGTTAGCAAACTCCAACAACAGAAATGGCATCTGTGTATTGATAATCAGCATTTACCCTGGCAGGAGACTAATCACATAGGCTGATCTCAGACATTAATCCTACCATCTGATACTTTTGGTGAAAAAAAAAAAGTATTCACTCCCTTTCCATTCTCCTCCTCACAGATCTAGATGCTCTCTTTACCAAGAGTATCAAATTTTTCTCTGTAATCTATTTACTAGAAGATTACATAGTGAGGAAGGTGGAGAGGGGGTGTGGGTAGGAATTGGGAGTGGTGGGTAGGGAAGCCCCTGGGAGGCCAGCCTGCAGTTCTTGCCCTTTCTGCTTCTGACATGAGATGTTAAAGAATCATTCATAGCACTCACATTGGGTTAGGGGACTCTGAACTGCTCTTCAGATCCATGATCGATCATCATTCTTCAAAGAGATTGGAGCTTTGCTGTTTCATTAACTGTGCAGTGTAGACTAATGGTGTTTAATAAAAATCATTCAAAATTTCAAACTCTTTTGCCAGTGACCTCCATTTTGTTGGCTCTTTGATTTGTATCCAGCTCTGAGGAGGGAAGGGGACAGCAAAGGAAAACTGCTACCAGGCCCCCGACAGGACGTTGCAGCGGCAAGCCCAAGCCCGCCTGCCCAGCAGCAGTTGCTGGTGAGCAACTGCATGCAGAGCAGCTGGGGGACTTCCTGACAAATGCCCAGCGGACGCTTTCAGCTGGGGATAGCTTGTTTCCCCCAGGACTCACTATTCTCCAGTCTCTGCAGCAGGAAGCCAGCTGCCATATCCAGGGAGAATTTCAGCTGCTTCCCCTATTTGGTTTTTTCCTGCATCACTTGTGTGCCTACAAAACACCAAAAGGGTCTCTGATAGTAGAGTCCGGAGTCGGGATGATGAGTCACCAAATGCATCCCAGGTGTTCACGTCCTTCTGTGGTTCTGCAGTGCTTGTGAAACCAGGGCAGAAGGAGCTTTTGGGCAGGAAACCAAATTTCTGAAACCTCAGAGATGCTGGGTTGCTGCCATGTAGTTCAGCCTAAGAGCTAACATCTCCTTCAGTCAGTCTAATGTGCAGCCAATGGTGTGCTGGTAAAATGTTTATCAGTCAGCTCTTTGAAAAGACAAAGACAAAACACTTGATTTGTTGCAATGGCCAATTTCCTCCATGTACATACTGCCACCATGACGGGCTTCAAGCCACAAACTGTGACATCACTGCATACAGATTTGGGAAAAGTTTCACATAATCATCTCCTGTGAGCCTGAATGAGCCAGCTCCACCACACTACTGCATGCAGCCAGGCAAAGAGGGTTCAGGTTTCCCACATCTGTCCCTGAGGACATGCCTATATACACCCCACCACACACACAAAGACATACACCCACAAACACATACACACGTTGCAATGACTAAAACTGCTACTTTGTTTTAAAACATCAATCGGTATTTTATGAATGGGTGGTTCATAATGAGGCCCTGAGACATAGCAGCCACCCTGGAGGCCCAGGTTTTCAGCAGTAGAAAGCTAAAAAGATGAAGCCCTTTTGAGCTGAAAGGACAGATGAGGCAGTGGCAATGATTTCCTCATCTCTACATCTCATAGGTTAACTAAATGTGAAATAAGCACTTAGAAAACACTCATGATTGGTTTTAAAGGATAGGTGAGTGGTTTACCATTATTATTACTATTATCAGTATTTTGATTCCCAAGTAGGATTCCAAACTTTTAAATCCAACTTGGCTAAAGTAGTTACAGAGCCTCTGTGGAGAATACTACAATCCACAATTTACTTAGATGTTTCCTCATAACATGGAAACACAGTAATTCCCACATCTCCACATTGCTATTCGGGAGATTCTATTCTTTCTATTCTATTCTATTTTATTCTATTCTATTCTATTCTAGTAATATTATATTACTAGGAATCTAAGTCTTTTTTTAACATTTGTTTTTAATTAAACCAATCTACTTACTGTCTCAGCTCTGAATTTAAACCAGAATGTTTTCTGTATCAATTACTTCACTGATATTCAGAAAGGATTGTCCAAACTAAAATAATTATCTTTTCCACCCAGGGTGGATAAAACTAAGGTCACTAACAAGAAGGCTTAGAGTGCAGTCTATTTTTTCTAAGAGAATGATGCTAAGCACATATGCACACAATCACACACACCTTTGCTTATTAGAGCACCTCGTCATAAATCATCCTGAGAGTAGAATAGAAAAATTTCCAAGAATCCATTCCCCTGGTCCTCTGCATCTTTTGCAGTTAATGAGAGGTTTGTAAGTGCAAAGGTTGAAGAAGTTTTCATAAAATCCTGTTTCTCTTTAAACATGTCCGTGTTCTGACCAGGCCTGTGTCCCTGTTTGTATGTTAGTCCTTGAAGACATCCCTGCCTGCTCCTTCTTTCTAGACTTCTTATCTTTTGCATCTGCAGTTCTTTCTGTGGCCTGCACAATAGCTGAGTTTGGAATTTTATGCCCTCTGCAATTCGTGAAACATTTGTCCTAACTGGAGAATGGTGACGTTGGGTCTGTTTTATTGGCATTACACCTACACCAGGACTCTTGAGTATCCCTAGGCAATGGGCAGGTTTTCATGGCCGGAAAGAGCTAGAAATGTGTTTACCATCATCCCATGCATCCCTTATTGCAAAACCATACTCACCAATCAAGCATATTCGCCCACAAATATTATAAATGAAATTGATTCTGTCTCCAGAGAATTTGTCAAATAGTTTTCCTCCTGTTTGATGCTACTCTCTGGATATTTTATAAAGAGAAGTATCTGCTATGAAATCCCTCACATTTATTCCTTTGTACAAATTGCTCTTGTATTTCTATTTTCATCAGAATAGTACTTTTAAAGATTGGTTGATGTGGTGTTGTCTTCAATAAAATGAATATGTCAAAAATGAATCTTGTGGACATACCATGTTCAGAAATGATCCTTGGTATCAGAAGATGCCTAAAATTCCCCCCTTGCACACTTGTTTAGATCCTTCAAAGAAAAGCCTAGTTTCCTTTTTGTTGTGGTGGTGGTAGTTGTGCCTGTAGCTGTGGTTGTTGTTACTTCTCCCTCTATCTCTTGCATTCTCGCTCTTGCTTCAGCTTTTGCTTTCAAGTTAGTGTCCTTTCTCTCTCTAAACAAATGGATAGTTCGATTAAATGTGAAATTGTACTTATTCATTCTTTTCAGACATAACAGATTAATAAAAATATGTGTGTCCTGAATTAAAACATACCACCTGCAAAGGCATACTATGTTATGATATCATAATACTATAATAACTACATCATTATGTGGCAGTACAAATATTAGTCTGTTGAACTCATTTGTCCAATTGTATAACTTTGTGGAACAGCATTTTGATCTTTGCTACATAATTTTGGCACAAGTGGAGTGTGTGCAGGCAGATGAGACAATGTTCATTCCAGGATTTTTCAATGAACTTTAGTTGGAAGTCAGGCAAAGGCAAACATCTTCAGATGCTGCTCTAACCATTATAAATGTGAACAATACATCTCTATTCAAGAAATACCGTAGAGAACTTCATTCAAGACTTTTTAGATTCTTTTTTTCCTTTATCCTTTTCCTTTTCCATTCTTTTGTATTTCATTTATTTGTTTTTGTTTGGAGAGGGTCTGTCTGTTATTTTTGAAGAAATATTTTGATTGCTTCTCTCTCTCTCGCTCTCTTTCTCTACCTGTCTTCCTCCCTTTCCTCACTCCATCCCTTATTCATTAAAATACTGTGAACTTGGGAGTCTTTGGTAAATCTGCATTAGATCAGTTTATAGACCAGGAATGAAATTTAGGTGAACATTGATGAGTTTTGAAAGAACACTTAAAATTCATTGGGCCTTTCCGCACCCTACCCTGACAAATGGTCTGAAGGACAGAGGTGGTTTTTGCAGAACATTTTCATAATATCCTCTGAGACCTAATGCAGCTTAACAAATGACTCCACCTATATCTCCTGTAATTTGACTGAGACTTGTAAAATACTCCCTGATAGTTGCCAGGGGTGTCTTCTGCTTAGTCTGTAGTACATGTGTTTGCTTTGTATCTAAGAGGCACATTCATTTTTTGTATGGTCATCTGAAGTATTTCCTAACATTCAAATTAGCCTGTATGTAATACCCAGAGAGATTATCCCATCACGCTGTAGATGAAGAGGTGATTCTATAACTCTCTGTCCTTGGAAACAGACATTTTCATGCATAACATAAACAGAAACTTTATATATTTAAGTGTCATGGAAAATATTTATTGGATACAAATGGGAATTTCATTGTCATCATATGCTCTCTCTGTGTGTGTGTGTATGTATGTGTATTGGGGGGTGCTTGCCAATACCACATCACTGGACCACTGTGGCAAGCCATAACTACACAAATAGAACATATCACTTGTGTGTGTGTGCGTGTGTGTGTGTGTGTGTGTGTTTGACATCTAGATAGCTTTACCTTCCTGTGAAACATCGGTTTCTATTTCTAAGAGGCCACGGCTATATTACTGCATGCAGGCAAAAATTTGAAGCGGAAACTTCTTTTCTCTTGGAAGCTTTCATCATAATATAGTTTTCAATCAAAGAAATTCCACTGGCTTTGGTCAGAGAAAAGTTTCTGTCTAAATTCCACTGAGTTTCCAAGAGAAAATTGCAGGTCAATATGTATGGGAGGGGAGATGTAGGCCACGTGAACTGGAGCAACCTGAACTGTATTGAGCCCTCTGGATTGGAGTGGACCTCATCTGAGATGTTGTACAAATACTTGGGGCTGATGGCTGGTCTGGGCGCCCTCCAAGTGAGTTAAGGAAGAGATTCAGCAGGCATAGCCTGGCCTGGCTCCTAAAGACGGAAATCTCCTGGTCATTCTCCAAGGAAAAGACCTTCTCCCACACTGATGGCACCCTAGCTGGCCATTAAGATGTGATGACTATTCAGAAAGTATCCCATTGGTCTAACAACCCAGTTAGTCTTTAGAACCACTTTTTGTTGGGTGCAGCTTTCCGATATTCACATTCATTGCAGATCCACCAACCGTCACTGTTCTTAACAAGCATGCTCGTCTTGTCAGAATTTCAGTAAGTTCCAATGTTCTGTATAGACCCAGGTAACTGTCCTAACATCAATTAATGAAATGTCATCTGGTTGCTAAAAACTGTGCTTTATATGTCAAAAACTGTATCTGCCTTTGTGGCTTTGCATTTCAAATGTGTGGGGCACAAGCATTTTGTTGGTGGTTTGTTCTCAGTACAGTAACTCTGTATACAAACATTTTAATGTGGTTTTTATTGTTTTCCAACAAGATGTCTCTGTAAAAATGATATTGGCTGAGCTGGTGCGTTGGTTTCTCTCATAGAGGCATTAACTATACTGCCAATGCATTGAATTATTTAAAAATGCAAAATAAAATTTTTATGAAAATATCATTTTAGACATGTAGATTATTCTGCTTACAGACTTTCCCAGGCATAAGTACCTTGTTCCCAATTCTTTCATGTTATAGTAGAAAGCCACTGCTTCCACTTACCTCAACAGCTGTATAGCTAAGGGCCATAAAGAAAATAACTCACACTACCCAATTCATTTTATAAGAGAGACCACTGACCATCATTCAAAGCCCATTTGAGAGAAAATTGCAGTGTTTAGTTATCTGGATTCCTAATACACAGCACAGAAAGCTTGCAAAGTTTAGGATCCTAACTGTAGTTGCTGAGAGAAGGAACAGGAACATTGCAGCAGGGGCGGTGCCCTGGGCTTGGAGGCAGAATTTTTAGGGTCTGTGCATACTGCCTCACATAAGCATGACATGTGGGTTTTCTGTGCCCTACTTTCTTCCTCTGCAAAACAGAGTTGCTGTCAGCACCACCACCCCCAGCCCGGCCCTGGCCCCTGCCACCAGAGGTAAGATATCATATAGACTGGAATTTCTCATCCTACATTTCCTCTTCGTAACTCCGAGAATTTTGTTGCCTCAAATAATTCCCTCCGACACACAGTCATTATCAAGGCCAACAGTCTTAATCCTCTGAGGGTGTAAGAGTAGTTAGGGCAACTTCAGTGTTGTATTTTTAGCAGAGATTATACCACAAGTGGGCAGGCCATGACTGAGGGCTAGTAGTCCACCAAGTCTTGTGTCTTGGAGGGAGAACATGTTCAGCTCTACGATCTTCTCTAGAAAGTATTATGGGCTTAGGTGGGATGGTTTGTCTCACTCATCCATTTCGAGAAAAGCAAAGAAAATAGTCCAAACTTTAGCTGTAGTGTAAGAGCAACCCATGTAATTTAGTAAAGAACATTTTGCCAACACATCTTTGGTATAGTCATTTGAAACTGACGCATGTGGTCAGGGTCCTTTGCAACTGCGCAAGTTATTAACTCGGCATCTATTGTGATTGACAGTCTCAAAACCTAGTGTATGTTCAGGAGATCAGTGAGGGGCAAGAAATGACATTAATTCAGATCTTTCTAGGTCTTTAATGCTCTGTATTGAGGAAATACCTGGTGAGGGTGGGGGACATTTAAAAATACAAGTGCAAATTCCACCCCAAGAGAGTCTGACTTCACAAGCATGTGTGAGATCCGTGACACCAGATACCTTGTTGATTCTCAGGTGAAACCAGTATGAAAAACCATTGTTACAAGTTTATTAGAGAAACAGCCCAGTTGCTCCTTCCTGCCCACCCCCACCTTCCTATGGGAACAGGAGCCAATGGTGCTACCAGCAATCTAGAGAAAACCTCCAACAGGAATCCAAGCTCTTGGTGTTCTTCGCCACAGAAGGGATTACCTTTTGCGCTTTTGTCACTCTAAGAATTCTGAGGTAGCTGAAATCACAACTCAACTGAACACACACATTCCCATGTCCCAAATAAGATCCAGAGCCCAGAGTTGTGAAGGGAAATCTCACCAGGAGGGACCCACCTATCTGGAAGGATTTTCTTGTATGTGGGTGGGTTTGAGAGGTGGGGGATGGTGGCAATATGAGATTTTCCAAGAATACACCATTCTGAGAACACAGAGATGATCATAAGAGCAGGAAGGAAGCATATCCCACTTGCGTTTATTTGAAAAGCCTTTCCCTACATTCTTATTGGGCTGGAATATTCCCAGGACTGAAAACAGCAGGGTAAGTGGAGTAGAGGGGATGAGGCTTCCTGAATGTCTCTTGGTGTTTTAGAGGCAGGGCACACATAGTTTGTGCATGTTGGCCCCTGCCTATGGTGTTTATTTTCACACCTGTTCTAAATATAGTTCCAATAGGCAACATTTTAACCATTTACAGCCTACCTTTTTTGCATACCCCATGAAACTGTCCAACATCTACTAACGTTGTGGTAGGGCTGTGGTGTAGCAGATTAAGCTTCTACTTGCAATACAAGCATCCTATGTGAGCATCAGTTAGAGTTTTGGCTGCTCCACTTCTGAGACAGCTCCATGCTAATATGACTGGGAAAGCAGCATAAGAGACCAGGATGGAGTTTCAGGCTTCTGGCTTTGGCCTGGCCCCACCTGGATTGTTGTGGCCATTTTGGGAGTGAATCTGAAAATGAAAGATTCTCTCTCTCTCTCTCTCTCTTTCTGTTCTTCCCTGTCTCTCCCTTCCTTTCTTTCTATAGCTCTGCCTTTCAAATGAATAACAAAATTCTTTAAAGCAAATTTTAAAAAGAATATGGCCAAAGTTCCTGAAAATGAGGCTGCATCCCACACCTCCACTCAAAACCATATCTGGCTTTGGTGCAGAATTTCTAGGCCCATACACTTTTAGACTTGGGAGCCCATATCCAGACCCCACATGATACTTACTCTTTGGATCCCTGAATATCCTTAACATAGCTCTAGAGTTAAAAATCATCGGCAAAATAATTATAGCCTTTACTAACACAACTGTCAACTGTAAATTGTACCTCATTATGAATCAAGACATACCACTGCCTTTGTAGAGTATAATCGCTAATTGGGGGCAAACAAGAGCCCTAGGCTTGTATCTGACGCCACATGTACTTCCTGATATTGTTCCATTTCTGGACCTCAGTGTCCCATTGGTACTATGAAAATGACAAGATTTTCTTGATGCCCAGTGAGAACAAGGATCAGGGCATGACATACAATCCTTGACAGATGGACTGCTGTGGGGCCGAGACTGACTGTTATCACTAAGGATGGAGCTGAGCCAAAATGCACCTCCCCTCTGCCCATCGTCCCCTACAATCTGAAGAATCACCCAAAGTACCCTTTCAAAGCAAACAATTTAAATCTGCTTCATCCTAAAGCTTTTGTGTAGTTTGCATTCACATTATACTCCATAAGACTTCCATACTTCTGATATAAAAATCACTTTTTTCATCCCCCAAATCTCCAAACTGATGGTCCAGAAAGATGCTTTTTGCATATTCTATAACTCAGCAAACTTTTTTTTTAAAGCTTTCATTTAATGGGTGCAAATTTCATAAGTACAACTTTAGGGATATAGCAGTTCTTCCCCCTATAGCCACCCTCCCACCCCAACTCCCATTATACCTCTTACTCCCTCTCCCCTCCCATTCTTCATTAAGATTCATTTTTTAATTTAACTTTATATACAGAAGGCCAACTCTATACTAAGTAAAGAGTTCAACAGTTTGCACACACACACACAAAGTACAAAGTACTGTTTGAGAACAAGTTTTGTAGTTAATTCTCATAGTACAATTCATTATGGACAGAGGTCCTACATGGAGAATAAGTGCACAGTACTTTTGTTGCTAATTTAACAATAAACACTCTTAGGGACCAGCGCAAGTAAAGCCGCCACCTGGGGTGCAGGCATCCCATATGGGTGCCGGTTCAAGTCTCAGCTGCTCCACTTCCAATCCAGCTCTCTGTTATGCCTTGGGAAAGCAGTAGAGGATGGCCCAAGTCCTTGGGCCCCTGCACCCAAGTGGGAAACCCAGAGGACGCTCGAGGCTCCTGGCTCCTGGCTTCGGATCGGCACAGCTCTGGCCGTTGCAGCCATCTGGGGAGTGAACCAGCGGATGCAAGACCTCTCTTTCTCTCTGCCTCTGCCTCTCTATAACTCTGCCTTACAAATAAATAAATAAAATCTTAAAAAAAATAACACTCTTATTTACGAGGTCAGTGATTACCCGAGGCTCTTGCCATGAGCTGCCAAGGCAATGGAAGCCTTTCATAAACACAGACTCCGTCAGCATTTGGACACAGCCATAAGCAAAGTGGAAGTTCTCTCCTCACTTCAGAGAAAAGTATATCCTTCTTTAATGGCCCCTTCTTTCCACTGGGCTCTCTCTCACAGAGATCTTCATGTAGGATATTTCTTTTGCCACAGTTGTCTTGGCTTTCCATGCCTAAAATGCTCTCATTGGCTTTTCAGCCACAACCGAATGCCTTGAGGTTCATTCTGAGGTCAGAGTGTTACTTAAAGCAATTGTCATTCTATGAGTCTTCAGCAAACTTTGAATGTATCACCATGGTTTGGATGTGTTCTAAGGTCCTTTCCAGTTCAAACCCACTATGAATTGGCATCTGAAGGTGGCTCTCGAACTTGGACCTTTCAGTTTATCATCCTGGCCCCTACTTCAGTTGAAGTGCTCATCACTACGTGGACAACCTAAACAGTCTTTCAACTATTACCTCCTTCCTCTAGCCTCACTATAATCCAATCCATTCCCTATTGTTGAGCCAGTGTTAATCTTTCCCAAACATAGGGCTGGTCATTGTCACTCTTTAATTTGCAATTTTTTAGCAGGTCCTTTTCATACATTGGCTAAACTCATGAGTTTCAATCCGGTAAATTCTCCCAGAATCATCTCCTTCTAGGACACATACCCTGTATTTCTGCCTCAGGAAACTATTCACTCCTAATGTCCTCTACTGCCTCCATCATTTGCTCATGCTCCCCTCTGTCCTTCATGGCCACTTCATGGTCCCCACTTTTCACTCAAGGCCTTGCTCAAAAGCCAGCACCACTCAGTGTGAATTTGTGTGTGACTAAAAGGTGTCTGGAATGGCACCAGACCAAGATCTAAATAGCTGTTATTCCTTGAGCTAAATGATAATAGAAGCCTGAACAAGGAGCTCAGAGTATTAACTGACTGAAAGCTTGGGATGAGAGAAGACTTCTTGAAAGAGGTGGTGTTTGCAGCAGTTACAACAATTTTAAAGAGAAGAAGGACACACGATGAAGTGGGCAAGCAGGGGTACAAAGGCATGGAGCATTGAGAGAGCAGAAAGCTCCAAATCCTTGGTGAGGACAAATCCTTGGGTAGAGTTGCAGTGTTGTAAAGATTCTGAGGAGGGCCTGGGCATGGAGCAGAGCATAATGCCCTTTTGAGTCTGGCCAAGTGGGAGTTTTATAACCAAGGCTATGGGAAGACTGGAGCAATGTTCAGCAGAGGCAAGGTATCCCTCTCCACTGCTAAGAGCCCAT